AATTTTTGATCAGTATTGTTTGGCATTTGATCATGAAAATACTTACGCCTGAACAACGTTTACAAATCGTTCGACTTTATTACGAAAATTAACGTTCTGTAAAGAATTTATTTCGTGGTTCGCTCAACTTATGGTTGTTGTTGTTGTTGTAACGGCAGAATTCTGCCGAGTTSACAGTCCTTGGCCGGATAAAAATCCGGGTCCGTTCCGGTTTTCGTAGACCCGACTGTCGTGGGTTCTTATGGTCAACATAATCGGCCTAATGAGCGTACTATTTGCAACACCATCACTCATTTTGAGACAAAGCATTCAATGTTGGATAATATTCGACCGAATAGACTACGTCTAGCAGACGGTGAAGAAAATATACCAGCCTCAGCTGAGAGTGTACACGAGGGCCGTGTACCGTGGAGAGTCGATTCGGCGCTGTTCGTAGCAATTCGGATGGACTTATGGAACGACTTGGCGTATTTTACGCTGAGGTCTTAAATTGAAAGCGTAAAAAATACAGCTTGTACAAAAACTGAAGCCGCTCTACCTTCTCAAGCAATATCGCTTCGCTCGATGGGTTCTTGAAAAGGTTCAAGAAGATCCGACGTTTTTGAGCCACATTTTTTCCAGCAATGAAGCAAATTTCTGGCTCAATTGGTATGTAAACAAGCGAAATTTCCACATTTGGGATGAAGAGATTCAAGAGCTGCCATTTCGGTCGATTGGCAACCAAGATCATGTTATATCATACCGTTCAACTTTTTCTTGTGGGGATATGTTAAGTCTAAAGTCTATGCAGACAATCCCGCTTTAATTCAGGCCTAGGAGCAAAACATCACGCTTGTCATTCGTCAGYTACCAGTCGAAATGCTCGAACGAGTCATTGAAAATTGGACTCAACGGATGAACCGTATGAAACGTAGCCTCGGCCTTTGAAAGAGATAATCTTAAAAAAAATAAATACCAAAGAATTTTCTTTCGAATGATAATAAAAATCCCTCATTAAATGTGAAGTTTATGTGTTTTTTTTTCTTTTAAAAAAGTAGAGAATCWCATGCGGGTGGGGAAAATACGTGGACCTACTTCATACATTTTCGGCATTAAACTAAAATATAGTCAGTGTTATATATTTTCAGTTAATTTTTCTAGGTTACCTTAAGTATTGATCGATATATATGGAATAAAGACAACTGTAAGTTTTTTGTTATAAATATTTTGTACTATATAAGAGCTAGTGGTAGTATAGACCCGAATTTATATATTTTTGGAATTTGTACATATCATTTGAGTGAAAAAAAAAAGAAAATGCTCTTTATGTTTTACATATTGACCAATATATGAGGTGTTTGAAAGTCCTTAGTTTATAGGGAATTGGGCAAGTTTTCAAGCGAATTTGGACACAAAGATGCGCTGTTATTARAAAAACRTGTTCATTCTTTTTTATTAAGATAACTCACATATTCASCGATATATGCAGTATAACTCCAGACGGAAGTTTAAACATCTTTCTATTAATTATATGCAGGCATCTTGCATTAACCAGTTTGAACCAATTATTGACTTTAGGGTTATACTATTACCAGATAAGAAACATAGGGACCTATTTAGGTATTAAAGAGTAAGAGTAACATTCTCGCCTAATGGATTGGCATATCTCATTTAATTTTCTATTAGAGATTACAGGGCGTCGATCACACCTCCGCTGTCGTCAAAATTAGGATATGAAATGCTGCACCCTCCACATATTCTCAAGATTTGGCCTCGTGGGTTTTCCAGAAATCGTATTTTTCAGATGGGTGAAAAAGTTAGAGTTAGAATCAGGAGGGTCATTAATCCCCAATAATAATTATTATTATGCGAAACGGTTATTTTGAATATCTAAGCAAACTTATTTTTTGTAACAAGGTTCATTTATAGTGTCAAATATATATTCTGCATGAGGAATAGTTACGGAGGTCAAAAAAATTATATAAAAAAAACAATTAAGATAACATGAAAGGAAGAGTTATGTTCTGGTGTAACCGAACATATCTAACTCTTGCAACTCGCAAGTCTTAAAGCCGGGAAAAATTCTTTTCGAATTTCAGTAGTATTTCTGCCAGGATGACCGACATTTTCGGTAAAATTCGGTATCTGGGAACACCAACAGATGTGGTCCGACTTGGATAATGTTTGGCCGTAAGATAGCATACCTCAAAACCACTATTTGTGCAAAGTTTTATCSGGATACATTGATTGGCTCTTGATTTGTATACTGAAAAGTCAAAGAATAAGATGGAATTTAAAATTGTGTTATATAGAAAGTAYGTGTGATTGTAGCACGATTTCGCCAAATAATATTTAGTATCGAATTTGGTTAAGTAGGCCCGAGCTATGGGTTTCACCTAACGTCCATCGTCCAAATTTGGGGGAACGACCTTTATAAAGCCTTTTATTTTTTATTTCACTTTTAGTAGTTTTTAACCAAACCCTTATATAGGTAGTTTGGCGGGGATATCATCTGATTCCATTTATTTTTACATTGTCGTAAGAAGGGTCGAAAATATTTGTCCTGTGCAAATTTCGGTCATAAAGCTCGAACAGTTTATGAGATATATACATTGAACTTATTAGGGGCGCGGCCACGGCCACTTTTTTAAGACGAATTATAGGTTTTTTAATAGCAGTGATCCGACAACGAGGAAGCACAATACCAAACTTCTTAAGTTTCATCAAGTTATCATAATTTTTTAGTCAGTTGCAGCTTGTACGGACGGACGAATGGACAGACAGACAGTCACCCGGATTTCAACTCGCCTCACCATTCTGATCACTTATTTATACATAACCCTGTATCTATCTCGATTCGTTTTAGATATTGCAAGAGTATACAAATAATAATAAGAAAAAAAAATTAACCGGAATATAATACTCTTCACAGGTTAACGTTGATCGGTCAGTTTATATGTGAGCTATATATGACAGTGGTCCGAACTGAACAATATGTTCGGAGAATGCCTTGGACAATACTCTATGCAAAATTTCGTGCAGATAATTTATCAAATAAAGAAGATTTGCCTACAAAGTTTTGCTTTTGATCGGACAGTGTGTGGCAGCATTATGCCATAGTCGCCCGATATCGACGATTCCGACAAATGAGCAGTTTCTTCGGKAGAAAAGGACGTGGACATTTCAGATTCTGAGGGACGCGTTAATACAGACAGAAAGATATGTTTTATAGGGTGTTCGATATTTCCTTCTGAGTGTTCGAAACTTCGTGACATATTTAATATATCCTGTTCAGGGTATAATAAAATAAGCGAAAAAGTGAAAATAAATGAAAAAAAACAAAACTATATCATAATGAAATTTTACCGGTTCTCACATGTTCAGGCAAAGTTCTCGTCAAAACGAGTAAACGAGGTTTTTGTGAATATTAGGCAGTGGTGGTCCATAAGCAGCATACACTATCTGAATATACCCTACTTTACTGGGTAGCAATAGAAAATTATAATATATATTTCTGTTTTGTAAAATATTTTTACAGAGCATTGTCCGGAAAGTAATAGGACTGATTTTCTTCCGCCGCTACTGWACGCCGAAGCGTGYGCGCACCGACTGTATTCGGTAGAGGGCGTTCCTAGCTAATGAACGAGCGGCTAGTCAGTTGTCTCCGAGCACCTGGAGAGTCAGGACAAACATTTTTGAGCAATGTGTTTCTGTGAGTGGTGCAAGACGAAAATATATCGTTCGTGAGAGCAGAGGTACGCGATTAAATTCTGTGTGAAACTCGGCAAATCCGCGATATAGACGTTTGATATGATCGAGAAGGTTTACCCAGATGTTGCTTTAGCAAGAAGTGGTGTTTCGGTGACACCAGGCCGYTTTAAAGAGCCTGGTAGAGGTCGCTGATGAAGACTGTGCTGGGAGACCTGCAACTTCGATAAACACTGGCAATGTGACTCGTGTGCGCAAAGTTTTAAACTCAGACTGTAAATTAAGTATTCGTTTAATTGTCCAGATATTAAATTTATCAAAATATGTGGTTCATGACATTGTGACGGAGCACTTGAACATGTGCAAGGTGTGCGCGAAGATTGTCCCAAAAGTGATCAATGACGACCAAAAATTGCGACGAGTGGAAGTGTGCTAATAAAAGTTAGAAATATGTGAAAGTGGCCCCCAATTTTTGAATAACGTAATCACAGCTGACAAGTCATGGATCTTTGAGTATGATTCCGAGACAAAGAGGCATTTTAAAAAGACTACTCCGTAGAATGTTTTTCGTGACGCCTTCAATGCTAGGAAATCGCGCTAGCTGCATCGACACAGAAGGAGCCCATTTTGAAAGTATGTATTTAAAGAATTGTAACGATTCGTTTAATACATTTTTTTAAATCGACACGGTCCTATTAGTTTCCGGACAAACCCTGTATATACAATGGAATAATAAATTAACATATTTTATAAATACAATAAAAAAATTTAAATTAATTCAATAAACAACAACATGTCCAGTGTCAAACATTTCGACGAATACTGCTTGATGTTAGGGAATTTGTACAAATTTGATATAACTAAAATTTTGACGAGTTAATTTAACTGAAAACCGAAAAATATTATTTTTTAGTTCAATATCGAATATAATATACTGTAAATATGTATGTATATTACGTGTTTTTTTTTTTTTTACTTTTTGGCATCTGCCAAATAATGATTGAATTACAAAAACACGTCTCCATTGTAGTATTAATAAATTTAAGTCCTCCACTTACCAAACAATTGATGACACTTTTGCTTTGCTGACACTAAGAAATTTTTAGAATATATGTTATATGTATAAGTATCACAAAAGAATACACTTCCCCACAACTGTTTTTTCACTGTTAGCATACGTATGCGAACAATAACTTATTAAAAAAAAACTAAAACAAAGCCGGATTCATGTATAACCACGGAAAGTCACAGAGACGCTGCGATTGTGTTGTGGCGAAAGGGTTGATAGTTACTCAGTATTATTGGAAACCCACCTTTAATTTTAGCTTTCTTGGTGCTACTAGTGACAATTGCCTTGAATTTCTTCGGCATACGTGCATGGCCCACGGGTGAGGTGCTGCCAAAGAGATTATCAAAAACGTCAACTTTGCCCATGGCATTGGCGTTATTCGTACGCTTAGAGCGCCGTGGTACAGCGCCCGAGCTGTCTGGTGGCGGTTCGAAGAGATCCTCATAGTCAGCGGAACCGGGCGAATAGGGACTTTCCATTTCGGTTAGATTTACTGGTTCATCCATGCCACCATTACGTGCATTCGAATTAGATGATGTCATTCCAGCGCCGCTGCTACTACCCACACTGCTGCCCACTTTCGGTAGCGGTAATTTTGATATTTGATTGCTCTTTATTATTGGAGTTGGACTGGAAATTACTGGTATATGTTGTGAGCCTTGTGCATTGCCGTTTGACAAGAGCATATTTGATATCACAGAGAGGCCCATCACCTCATCGTTCTTGTCACGCATGTTCAGTCCATCATCGTGCGCATTGCCCATGACAGTGGCGTGCATGTGTGACGCAGTGTTATATTGCGAGTCATTCGACTTGTTCAGATCTTGAGAGCTATTCTGTTTGGTATTCATTAGTTTCATTACTAGTTCAACGGGATTAAGTGTGGAACCTTGTGGAATCATGCTACTGCTGGCGCCAGAAATTTGAGAACCCGTACGCTCATTTGTTAGGCGTTGTTCGTCGACAATGTGCTTTTGTGAGGATACCACTTCAACGCTACTATCCATGCCAATTGAAGCTTGCGAGCTGTTCAATGGGGCGGGAGAGGGTGAGCGTGGAGACATAGATGGCGATTTCGTAGGATCGAAGGGATCGTAAGCATCTGGTGAGCATGGACCAGATTCGGGTGGTGTATTCGGACCAATTTTTTGACTACTTTGTACATGCATTGGTTCCAGCTCCGAACGATGTGTGTCCGGTTCATGTACTTCGGCCATTTCCGATTCAGAATTTAGTTCCGCATCGTCATGTAGTGGGTTATTACGGACTTTATTTTGCTTTTTAGCGGCTATGTTGAATTTAACAGTTGGAGGTTCTGGTGGTGTCTTTGGTCCAGTTTGTGGTAAATCGTAGGATTCCTCTAAAATAGTATCGAGGCGTTCGCGCTCCAATGGCGGCGTTTTGTCTAACTGTGATGAGGAGCGTATGCCATTGCTCATTTGTGATCTATGATGATCCATTTCGTCCACAATTGATTCGCTGCGGCGGCGTTCGCGATGACTTTCGCGTCGTCTATCATGTTCATGTTCATGTTCGWGCTCATGCTCGTGTTCACTATCGCGWCCKCCAACGCCTTCTTCGCTRTCGGTGAGCACAATAACATCGGCTGGTTCCTGATGCACCTGGAACGGTGATCGCTCCAAATCAATAATAGCAACAGGCTTTGCGTCAAGCTTTTTACGCTTCTTCTTTTTCTTACTAGCAGCATTCGAATTGGTAATGCAATCTATAGAATTTCGGCGAATTGTGTGTAAGTCTTCGCGCGTCGCCGGCAATGTAACAACGGTTGTCTGTGAAGGCGGTTGATTTCCAACTGCATCTTTATTAAAACTCACACTAACGAGAATATTGTTACCCGAGGCAAATACCTCCTTGGATGGTACTGCTTCTGGTGTTTGGGTGCGTCGAGTCCGTCGTTTATCTTTGCGTACATCACGTCGTTTCTCACCCTTCTTCTTCTTTTTCACGCGCTTTGTTCGCTTATCACGTTTGCTCGACCGAGAATTACTGCGACGAGCTTCTGCCTCATAGATGCCGTGCATTTCGTGAACAAGACGTGGCGATACCAATGGTGGCGTCCATGATATATTGTTGTCACGTTCGTAGTCAAGTACAGGACCCGGACTGGGCGAGGGCGACCAAGTGGGCTCATCCAGCGACGCTTTCTGCTTTGGTGAATGGTGACGCTTTTTCTTAGGCGGTCGATCCACTTCAAATGCGTCACGCTGACGTGAAATTCGTAAGTTGGCCTCTGGACTAAGGCTTGGGAGGTGCTTTTTTTTCTTCTTCTTACCTTTATCTTTTATCTTCTTCTTTTTACCCTTGGTTACGCGTAAAATCGGTGTTTTTGAGTGACTTCTATGCAACCGTGGCGTATATCTGGGTGATGGAGAAAGTGAATGCAAAGGGGACGGTGAACGTGAGATGGCTGACTGTGCYAGCGGGGAACCGTCACGTACACGTCTTATAACCTTTCTACCACCCATACGTTGTGGGGTAAGCGATCGTGAGTGCATGCGCAGTGGACTTCGAGAGTGTCCGCGCATCGGCGTAATTCTGCGTGGCGAGATAGAGTTTCGACGTGGTGAACGGTAACGTTGTCTGGGCGAAACTGACTGTCGACGCATCATAGGCTGCGGACTTGGTGATATGCTAAAGCTGCCGCGTCGATTTCGTCGTGGTGACATTGAACGTMCACGTGAGCGTGACCTAGAGATTGACCTACCACTTATTCTACGAGTGCGCGGACTCGGTGACCTACTAATATTACGCGTTTGACGRCTGGTATCACGTCCGTAACGATCTCTGACCTCTCTACCCTCTCTAAAGCTACGTTGAATGCCYACAACGTTTCGTACATTATAGCGTGGAATTTCTCTACGTTTGGGACGATATTGATTTTTTTGTTTATTTCGATCATGAAATCTGGTCTGGTTATTATTATAGCGACCACCTTGTCGCCACTTGTTCTCCTTGTTGTTTGATCGACTACGTGAACGTAATGAACGGGAACGGGAGCGGGAACGTCTACGGCCACGACCACGTGGCGATCGCGAACGTGATCTACCTGAATGGGGTGAACGAGAGCGATTTACGGCGACTCGTGGTGATCGCGAACGACTGCGTATGCGGCTATGACTGCGACTCCGAGTGCGTGAACGACTTCTTGATATAGATTTAGAACGAGAACGTGATTTTGACGATTGATGTCGCACTTTATATTTACCTACTTGTTGCTTGTCGGTGCGGTAATTGCGTACCTTTTGTTTGTTGCTTACTTTTTTGAATGTTTCAACTTTTTTGTCACGTTTATCACGTTTTTTGCTACTTCTTCGCTTCCTTGAGCCACGTGCATTCTCATCGTCGTCCGAAATTAGTTCGGTTTCAATGGCGACCGGTGCACTGGCAATAACTTCGGGCGTTTTACCGCCTTCCGTGTCCGGTTCATTCGAATCCTTGGAGGCATTTAGCAACTTTGCGCCCGTCTCATCGAATTTTTCATTTTCATGGCCTTCTTCTGGTTCATTGTTCTCATCCAGGCATGGTGTATAAGATCGATCAAGTTCGCCTTCGTTTTTATCATCTGTTTCTTTACCCTTACTCTTATTCCTTTTACTGCGTTCCTTAAGCTTGTCTGAAGTTGTCTCATCCTGCTCTTCACACTGACCTTCTTCTAAGTCAGATTTTTCTGACTGTTTTGCTGCTTTCTCATATTCCTTTGGCTTATCAATATCCAGTTCTTCCCAATCACTATCATCGTACAATTCCAATACGCCCTTCTTATTTGCAATGCCTACATCATTTTCGGGCAATTTCATCTCGGATTCTGTTGGACTTGGTGAACGTGAGTGATCGCTATGACCGTCCTTAGGTTCGTGCTCCTTTTCCAACGTTTCATTATTACTTTTATTACAATCGTCCAACTTTTCTGTTTTATTATCCTCCACCGCCATATTAGAATCCTCGTTGGATATGATTTCATGTTCCGGATCATATTGTGAGTCGCAATTGTCCACGCTATCGCGCCGACCAGGACGTGGTGAAGCAATTTCTTCCACAGTTTCGTGGTTTTCATTTGTCTTGTCAACTTCATCCTTTTCATTGTCTTCACTGTTCTCTTGTTTTTTAAGTTCTTCGTCGTCGTCGTCGTCATCGCCGCGATCGGCGACGTCATCGTCCTCGTTTTCTTCTGTAGGATTTTCTGGCTCATATAAGTCAGAATCTTTGACTGTAGTTGGAGATTCATTTGGATTAGTTTCTGGTGGCATTGGTATTTCATCATCATCATCTAATTGTACTAAATCTTCATTTTCATCGTCTTCCTGAGAATCGATATTTTATGAAATAGGAGAAAGAAAAGTGATATATCATGGTTAGTATACCATTTTGTGGTTATCTACATGTATGAGTTCACCTAAACATATCTGAATGCTCCTAACTACGTATAATTTAAATCGTCTATACGAAATATGTAAAAAAACTGATTGTAAACTAATTGTATTTAAGGTTTAAAACTTAATTCCACAGGAGAAATATTGTTTATTGGACAATCTTAATATTTGAACGTAAAAATGTAAAATCAGCGATTTACTTAACTTTTTAGGAACACGTACTACTATTTTAAAAAATAAAAAGAAAACTAAAACTATACAGCCACCATAGAACTAATACTATGAATATATGTATACCATTTAAGACTATAGAAAACTGAACTAAAATCTTATCGGCCAAATCCATATGTACTATTTCCGTGATAGTCGAGTTTGCCGGAAAGGTACTGGATGTACTTGTATGTATATCTAACTGGTTTTGTTAAAGTATAATCTAATCAGGCTTTTCTCCTTTTCCGACAAAATACAGTCTTTCAAATGCATTGAATAAATAAATATATTCCATAGTAAATGACAAAAATAAGGTAGGCTACTTGACAGAACACGACTGAAATCTCTTTTGATCGGAATGCTTTACTCTACTTGACAAATGTGTGGTTTTATAAGAAAATCCGAAACACACCTTTCAGAGAAATATTTATATCCAAAAAGTATTCGGCAAACGTGTTCATAAAAGAAATGCTATAAGCATTCACAAATAATAAAATATATGTATTTTAAGTGTAACTAAAGGAAATACCTATAAAGTAGCGGTTAGGTTCTAATATAACCAATGGCGGCTGCTTAAAACTGGGTTGGTGGGAGCTTTTAAATTTGGCTATAAATGCAATTTATAGGTACTTGGTAATGTAATTCACCTAATATTTAATAGTACTTTAATAAGGGAGTAAGGTGCTTAATTTTTCTTATAAAATTATTAAATTATATCTTAAGAATGTTGTATCTAAATTTCAAAAATTTAAAAGATGATGAGTGTTTTTTACACCTGTCTTTTATGACCGTTTTATATCAGATTTTAAAACTTTAAATCGTTTTCAGCTCAACTCAAGTTTTCAAAGTTAGTGCTCCCCATATCTTCGAAACTACGGCACCGCTATATTCGATTTGCTATTTCTGCACATAACATACGAGTTAACGCCGAAGAGTTATTTTCAAATAGTAGTTTATTTTGCAACAACATATTAGCCGATTTTTACACAAAATATTGCGCCTCTTCCTTCGAGTGTTTTAAAAAGAAAAATTCAACTACGGAAAATGTTATTATTTAATATTCTTCGTAAATTCGGATTAATCTTATAGTTCGTTTTTTTTTTACATATTTACTCAAATAAATTTAAAAAACAAACGAAACGTCTCTAATTTGTTCATACAAAGAGACGAAAAACACATTAAAAGCGGATTTTATGAATTTATTTTCGAAAGATTTAAACATTTTAAATAATTAAACCAATTAAGTTTAAAAACAATTTTGATTTGATAAATATAAAAGAGTTTAAAATAAAGTTGAAGAACGACTTTTCTGGCATAAACCGCAAGTGTGTAAATATATCGACTTTTAACGATTTTAAATGCAAAATTTTCTTATTCATAGTTAAAGTTGAAAAAGATTAAGTCATAAATTAATTCAATTTAAATGTGGGAAATTTGTGTGTAAACATAATAAGATTTCGTTCCACACTCGTTGTTTTCCCGAGGTGTGTGAAGTCGAAGGATTGCCTAAATTTTACACTGTGTGCGCTTCTAATACCATATACTACTTGTTGATATCTCCCTCTCCCTCTGCTGCCTGCATCACGAATAACTTTTAAAATATCTCGTGTTTTTTTAATAAAAGTATTCTGAAATCTAATCACTATTGATAAACATATTTATATTAAATGGTGTTTCGAATAGTAAACGCAATTAAGTGGTAGTAATTAAGTATGTAAAAGAGAACCCCAACTGTATTTATTTTTTATTATATTCGAGTTTTCAAACCAATAACGACTGCTGCAGTATATACAAAATATCTTATTTCAATCAGCTGTAAAGTTGCCACTAACAACGTTTTCGAAGTATTTGTGCCATATTCGAAAAATTGCATTGCATTGCCAAAAAAAAAAAAAAATATTGTCTAATTTTTGTTTTTCAATTCATACCTTAGCTGCTTCGCTGTTCTGCTGAGTTTGTGATTGCATTTCTGCTGATTTGGCAACTTCTTGGGATTCGGCTGAGTATACGGAAAAGTTCGGACAATTGGAGTCATCATCGTCATTTCCATAATCGTTATTCAATTGTTGAAAGAGTGGTGTGGCCCAAGGCATAGGCACACCCGGAGGTGGCGCAGGTGGTGGTGGCACAGTCATTAGCGGTCTCATTGTTTGCATTGGCGAATGCATTGCCAGTGGTGGCGGTGGGCCACTCATAGCCATTGMTGGTGGTGGCGGTCTCGACATTGGTAACGTTCCCATAATGGGAGGTGGTCCTGTCATATGCGGTGGACCTGCCATCGGCGGTAGTCCAGACACAGGTGGCGGACCAGCCATACCCAGTGGCACAGCAGACATTAATGGTGCAGATCTTACTGGTGGTGGTAGATCACCAAAGAGCGGATTTTCATTTGACATATTCTGTTGCTGAGGTGGTGGCAGTCCAGTCCTAAAGGGATTATTGCCTTCATTCGGTTTATTTTGTGTTTGGTTTTGTTGTTGGTGCTGTTGTCGATCGTCATCGTTACGATGCATAAATGGCAAAGAGTTTCGTTGATTATTGTTGCGCTGATTATTACGTTGATTGAAACGCATCGAGAAAGGTGAAAAATTTGGGTTCTGATTCGGGTTGTTGCTGTTGTTCAAATTTTGATTACTAAAATTGAAATTTCCACGGCTGCCATCGTTTCCGTCACCACCAGCACTACCACCCATAGAGTGTCTATATTGACCTCCACCGCCACTACCGCGATAATTGTTTTGATTGTTACTGTATCGATTATTGTAGTTACCACCACCGCCACCACTATTGCCGCCGCCGAAGTTTTGGTTTCCGCCTCCACCACGCGGATACATCGGCGCTTGTGTGACCCCCTCAAGTGGGTTGATAGGGGTGCGTGATTGTTGCTCATTAGCACTGACTGAGTTACGTGATGTTTGCCGCTGATTTGAGTCCGCATTGACACTAGAACTATTGCTATCGTTCATGTTAATTCCACTACTGGGCAGTTGCAAAGTGCCGTCAGCACTAATATGCACACTTTCCATGTTTCTCGCTGCATTATGCCAACGATCTTGCATGTTCATAATGCTGGATAACAGATCACCACTAGTGGGTGTTGCAGTTTGAGCTGGTAAATCTGGGAGAACATTACGTCTATTATTGCCTTGTAGGCGGCCTAAGAGAATACCTTTGCGTGCTCGTTGCGAGCCAAAGTTCGATATGCGTATGGAGGTTTGTAGAGCGGTGCCATGTCCTGTCTCTACTTGAATTTCATGTTCAATACCACCGTTATCACTATCCGAAAAGTACTCCAAATCATTGGCACCGCCAAACAGTGATAGTCCAGCTGACGTGCCAGACAGGTGTGAAGTGTATGTGGGATCTTTCTTAACACCCATCTGCTCTGCCAAGCGCTTGCTAGCCGTCATACGTCCGCCAGTACTGGTTCGTGCAGTATTGCGTGCTGATGCTCTGCGCTTGCGTCGACGTCTTCTAATAATTTTCTTTGTAGTTTTAATTGCGAACTTCTCATCGAAATTATTCAAATCATACTCAACAACATATGTACGTTTGCGTGTGCGACGTCGGCGACGCCTGCTCGGCTTACGACGTGTAGTTGATGGTCTTGTGGTGCGTGTGGTTGTGGTCGTCGTGGTGGTGGTTGTACTGTTACGAGGCCTGCCACGACCGCGACTGGTACCTGCGCTTGTTGTAGTGGTTGTGGTAGTTTCGATGCGCGCCCGACTGCGTGTTGTGCGTAAAACGGCCGCACGTATACGTTCATTTTGACGCGTGCGCAATATGCGAGGCTGCTGCAATTCAGTTACACGTAACGCCGCTTGCGGTATGCCCATGTCGCGTATATCTTCGTAAAGCAAATTTAAATCTTCTGACACATTGTCACTTTCAGCCGATGGATCAAAACAGTTGTCGCAATACCATGATCCTTCTGGAATTTGCGTTAGACGTGGTGTGAGACAATCCATATGATAGCCTTGATTACATTCATCACACAAGAGCATTACGTCTTCTCGTTCTGGACTATTGCAGATCTCACAATAAGTCACATCTTCATCGACACCATCCGCTTCATCATCCAATACCAGTTCTTTACTAATCTTATTGGGATCGACGTTAATCTCGCGCACGATTCTACGATTTTCAAAATTATCCCGCACGACAATGCGATCGAATTCGATGCGATCGATAGGACATGTCTGCACATTCTTGGACCAAGCTTCGATGCAGCTGGAGCAAAAACTGTGTGCACATGTTGCCGGCGAACCGATTTCTTGTTGTCGAAAAGTCAAGAGACAAATTGGGCATTTCTCGAGCAGCTCGTTGCTACTACTGTCCGAATTGAAACCAGCCTCGGTGGCGATTTCGGTTTGTTTGCTGTTGCTTTGATTTTCTTCCGAAGAATGCATTTGTTCATCTTCCGAGATGATAATTTTCTTCGACGATTTTGCTGTACGCGTTTTTACCGAGTGATTTATCTGTAAAATAGAAATATAAAAAAAAAAATTAGGTTCGGCTTTGTCAATTCATTATTGCACATAAATGCATATATGTATGTATACAAATATTATTTTAAACGTCTGCTATTTGCCCTTTAATAACAATAAACTTAAATATATTTGTTGATAATATAAATACTTAATAAATGTTAATAGATTAAAAATATTCAACTATATTAATCATTTTCTACGTTATTGGTACCTATACAGTGAGAACCCAAAATATGTATGTATGTAAGTAAATTCCGAAACTAGAAATATTTTTATAAAAAAAAAAATCGTTTCGTTAACTCGTTCGGCGGTTCGAAGGGTAACTATTCTACCCGTTTTTTAATACGAGTATTAGTTTTTAACAGCTTTCGTCTCTTAGCCGAAGTTTGGATTCAACAGTTTCATATTAACATATTTAGCGATGATTTATAAAAATAAATTAAAAAGCCTATCGGTGAGCTTGGTATAATTAAGTAGTAACGCAACCTAAATACTTAGTATTTTCTTTCATAAATTTTACTACCGTATTACTCAAAAATGATATAATAGTACTCATTATTATTCTTAAAGCATCTACAAATAAGAACGATGAGATATTGATGTAAATCATAATATTATAAATTCACGTTCATCAAAAAATCATCTTCTTAGATGAGACCAATTTTGTCTTAATTATTTCAACAAAATTGCCGATTTTGGGGTGATTCGAATCAATCAGCAGCACTCGAGGAGCTCAAAGACAAATTTCAGCGCACTATAGCCGAAATGCTGCACCTGGCAATCGGAAATTGACGTATACGGGTGGATATGTAAATTGAGCCGTGGTGGCAATTTGGCCGACATTATGTTTAAATCATAAATGGCATAAAATTATCTGCATAAYAAAAATGATAAAAACAGAAACCATTTTGGTCTAATTTGWGTGTTTTGCTTCATTTTAATTAAWTTATTGTAACCTTCGGATGAAATAGACAAATGGAAAACATTTTGGTAGTTCTTTTTAGTCATATTGTTTGATAATCAAGCTTTAAGTCGAATTAAGGYTTTTTTCGGCGATCTACCCCSTTTGGATCGGTGAGTACTAATCGAATTAAGGTTACTTAATAAGGAAAAATATCTTTTATAAAGACGTATTCGGATACTGTAGACTTGCTTAGGACAATATAGATTTATTATTATAGGCTATAGTAGTCCAACACGAACACGATGTTCGGAGATTGTAGACTTGTTATGAGAAATAATATATTTGGTGAAGATATGTTGTCAAAAAAAAAATGTTTTCCATACAAGAACTTTATTTTGATTGGTAAGTTTGTATGACAGCTACATGCTATAGTGATCCGATATCGCCAGTTCCGCCAATGAAGAATTTTCGGTACCAATGAAGAAAGTCCAGATCAATGTCTCAAAAACTTAGGAATGTGCTGCTCGTTACGTTGATAATTTATATATACATAGGGCCCACGACAATCGGGTTTACGCAATCGGAATGGATCAGGATTTTATTCGGCCATGGACTGTCAACTCGGCAGATTTCTGCCGCTACAACAACAACACTTAATGATATTTGTATAATGTTATAAAATGGAAAACTTTACCTTAAACTAATCCAGTTTAAACATTGCGGATTTTAGTTGTTTGAAGGTGAAATTATCTGTCTAAATTCATGCTATTCGCAAAAAGCTCTGTGAATATGCGATGCTGACTGTTCTGACAATGTTTTTCCGGCCCAGGAGCAAAATATTATAATAGACCATTGGACTCACCGACCATAAAATCATAAGGTTATGTATCGGAGAATTCCAAGGATTTTGAAAATGTAATAACGAATAGTTTTTTCATTTGGCTTACAATGTTGATATTAGTTGTATGTATATCGAACGATATTCGTAACTTATTTTCTAGCTTGTCTTTTCATGTAATGAAAAAAATAAAATTAAAATATACATATGATTGTAAGAAATCTCGACCTATTCCGCACAATAGTTTGTGAACCATTAAAATTCTCTTACGACAGAATTTACATTTTTCTAAAATGGGAGAGTCTCATTGGTGAATAATGTTATGCTTGAGCGACATTTGTATCTTTTCTTTTTCTTGGGATTGCTGCTGCCGAATTTTCAGTACTCTACAATATCGTATTTCAGTTAAAGTTTAAGAGTTTTTTAACCAATACCTGCAGACTTATAATATCATAAGAAAGAACAAAATATATGCTGAATCTACATCGATGTTATTTGATGTAAGATACATGTGTGAAAGATGGTGTAAGGAATAACGATATCASCAGTTTAGACAAATGAGCAACTTTTTAGGAAGCATTTGATGTCTGCAAACCGAGAGACAAGCTCCTGCATATGCATATGTACAAACGAAAATGGCTAAATGCTCTTCACGCTGATCATTAGTGCCAAAATGAATATACCTTGTTCAGGCTTTTATTATATGTACATATATGCACTAATATATTAAAACTTCCAAGTAAATTAAAAATCCTTATATACACATAATATTTAATATGTGGTTTTTAGAAAGAGAAATATAAAAAGAAGCCATAAAACGATCTCATAAGTTGAATACTATTTGAAAAATTTTACTACTCATAGTAGTAAAATTCCTCAATAAATCTGGAGGAAAAATTTGCGACTGATGTACTGAGAGGTTTATGGTATCCTAATTACGAATTTGAGTTCAAAATTTTTCATGAAATCAGCATTAGTAAATGGTGGTGGTTTGACCCCTACACCCCTTGACTAGGCCACAAAAACTCCCTTTGTGTTAGAAAATGCTTACTATTCTTTCCGGGTTTAGCCACACACCACCTCCAGCAGCACAGCTACTGCTAAATGACTCTAAATTAGTGTATACGTGTTTTACGAAACAATAAATACATTATATATAAGAAGCAATTTGGAAAAATGGAAAAAAGAGCAATAAAATTATGGTCTAATAAACAGAAACGSAATTTTCCAATAGATGATTTTAGTAACCTGTATTTTGCGTTGTATAAATACGATGATAATTTTGTGACAAGGACTTTTCATCTATAAAATAATAGAATGGACCATATTACACATTAGTATCCCAATACAAATGTATATATATTAGAGCAGCGGTCAAAATAATAATAGTGCAAATGTGGTAAATAGTTTCTTCTTCTTCTTAATTGGCGTAGACACCGCTTACGCGATTATAGCCGAGTTAACAACAGCGCGCCAGTCGTTTCTTCTTTTCGCTACGTGGCGCC